TTTCTTTCTTTCTTTCTTTCTTTCTTTCTTTCTTTCTTTCTTTCTTTCTTTTTCAATCCAAACAAAAATGCCGTGGGGAGAAAGTATGCCTCGCTTATTGAGACAGCAAACAGGAGCCTTTGAACCGAAGCTCCTTAACCCTGGAACTGCGTATCCTCCGTGCAGAAATCTGGAAACCAAAGTAACATGGAGGAAAGAGGGAGGGGAGGATCCCGACGTCAGTGCCTCAAAAGTAAGAAACCTGTGGCCTTAGCATCTTTCTGCTTACGCGACTGGGGCAGTCCTGCCTCTAGGGGTTTTACAGCATCCCCCCCCCCCCCGACCCCGTCCCCCTCCTCCAGTGTCCAAGCTAGAGGACAAGCCCATGGCTTGCAAGGACTCTGGATAAAGGTAGAATATGTGGGATCCAGTGTATTTTGTTTTGTTTTTGTTTTTGCTTTAATGCCGGAGCCAATGTTTTTAAAGCAGCACTTTATGAACAGGCAAGTGCTTTCGGACTACCGGGAGCTTGAAGCTAATGCAGTGCCTTGGTAGCTGGCCTTGCTCCCTGTCTATTAAGACAGCACAGACACAAAGGACACGCATCCTTTCCTCCCTCCAGCAAACCCTTTCCTCCCTCCAGCAATCTACAGGAGAAGATACTTCGTGAAAACAGATCACCACAGGAGGAATGGGATAAGTGGGACTACAGATGCGCTGATGAAAGGCCACAGGACTGCAAGGAAAGTTTCGTTTCTGCCTTGGGGAGGTGACGGGGTGAGAATCAGGAAGGACGCCCCTGGGTGGCAACTGGGGCGGGGACACTTGGCAGCTGGCCTGAGGAGGGTCTCAGCGGCCGGGCTGCAGGTCCCGGTACAGATGGGACACTCCCTCACCCTCTCGAGTCTGCAAGCTCTGCCCCTCCACCAACTCGCTCTAGGACACTTCAAAAGGCTGTGGGACAAAGACCGTAGGTCGCATAGAATTCCGCCAGAACTGCATTTGATAAATTAAAACGTGAGTCTCAAAGGAGTGAGCCTCTCATCCAAGTTCAAAGTGCTAAAAGTTGCGCAGAACAAAGACTCAACCCAATTTCCTGACTCCAAAGTTCACGCCTTCTCCAAGTGTTTCCTTGTTCCCCGTAAAATCAGGAATATCCTAAGACAGTGTTGGTCTCCACGTAGTTTACTAGAGTTCTCAGGAGTCGATCCGGTGGGAGTTTTGCTCTCATTTGCCTCCCTTGTGCCATTATTGCTGGTGTTAGAGGCCCAGCAAGACACTATCTACATGTTGTTTTGTGAAATGGCCTTTTAAGTCAGTCTGGAGACAGATACAACCACGTGATTGTGAAATTGCAGACACACTGGTCTTTGCTGGGGATCTTAGGTGGGTGCAGCTTACCACCCGGTGTAACCTGCTTCCCGCCCAACAACTGCTGTGTTTCTGGAAGACAGGCCTAGCAACACATTTTCAGGGCGTTTACTCCCTTGATTTTTTCGTCTTCAGTTTTGTAAGATAGTTCACTGGATGCAAGACCCTTGGTTACAAGTTTTCCTTTCAATGCCTTAAGTCTGTCATCCCCCTGCCCTCTGACCGCCACCGAGTCTGGGGAGAAGTCAACCATCGACCTCATGGAGGTTCCCATGTGTGTCTGTGAAGGGTCGTGTGTGGGCTCCTCTGCTCTCAAGGTGCTCTGTGGCTTTGTCCTTCATCCCTTGACCATGGTCTGGGGGGCCTCGCCTGCCATCCATCCCACATGGAGGTCACTGACTGTCTGAATGTGTAGATTGTTTTTTTCATCCAATGTGGGATTTGCCGTTCTTTCTTTGAATATCCGTCTGTTTCTTCCTGTCTCTCTTCTCCTTCTGGGACCCTGTTGCGTGTATGTGGGCGCACCTCATTAGGTCCTATTTGTTTGTCTTCCTTCTTCTTTCTCTCTGGCCTGCAGAGTACATCATTTCTGTTGCTTTTTCTCGGGCAGCTCAAATCTGCTGTTCCGCCTGTCTCATGAATTCTTCATTTTGGTCATAATGCTTTCCAGCTCCAGAATTTCTGCCTGGTTCAATTCTACCGTTTCTTTACCAATAGTCTATATTTGAAGAGACATTGCCGATATACGTTCCTTAAATTCTATCATCACGGTTTTCCCTTGTTCTTTGAACATATTCTTAATTGCTTTGGAGTCTCTGCCTGCTAAGTCCAACATCTGGGCCCTCTAAAAGCCTGCCTTTTCTCCAGAATATGGATGACATTTTCCTCTTTGTTGGCTGGGATCATGATTTTTTGTTGAAAGCTAGACGTTTTCAGTAATGTAGTATCGTAATTCTGAATACTGATTCCCGACCCCCAGTGCTGTTGTTTGCTTGCTTGTGAATCTGGTCAGTGACCTTGACTGGACCAGTTCAATGAGCACTGTTTCCAACTGTGCAACCCTCTGATGTCACCATTGAGAGGTGCAGCCTGACCCCCCCAAAATGACTCTTAGTATGATAAACAAAGCACCATGAAGGAGCGTCTCACAACCTAGAACACAAGCGGATTTATTTTTTAAAGACTTTATTTATTTATTTGACAGACAGAGATCACAAGTAGGCAGAGAGGCAGGTAGAGAGAAGGGAGGAAGCAGGCTCCCTGCTGAGCAGAGAGCCCGATGCGGGGCTCGATCCCAGGACCCTGAGATCATGACCTGAGCCGAAGGCAGAGGCTTTAACCCACTGGGCCACCCAGGTGCCCCACACGCGGATTTAAAGGTCAGGTAATAACAACAAAAAGCTAAACAAACACGCAAGAAGCCTTTTTTCCCCTTCCTTGATTTTCCTAAATTTTACTTTCATTTTTGAAAAATTATAAAACCTTTATTTCCTACATAGGTATATAAAATGTTTGTTGTATAACCCTTGAAAACCCTCAAAGCTACGATTGAAACAGAAATGCACTCTTGCCTTTCTGGCTGCCATAAACTCTGCTCAGTTCTTGTTTAGCCTTAAGTACCCCCCTTGACATCAGGCCGTTGTTCCTTCTTCTTTCCGGTTACTACGATTTCGATGTAAAGCAGGTAGGTACTAGAGAACATGTTTGTTATTTCTTTTCATGATTCAGTGAGGCTCTTGGAAAAATTTAATTGGAACCTTTTGTTCCTTACTTGTGAAACATCTGGCAGGAAAAGAAAAGCTGAAGAAAAACTTGGACACAATCGTTCTCAGAAAAGAGAAGTAGGACAAAGTTCAGATACTAGGACAGAAAAATGAGAGTTACAGTCTTAGAAACCAGTCATTTCCGGGGTTCCAGAGAATAAGTTTTAAAATGCTCACTGGATAACGGATACTGTAAGTCATCCTAATATGGGGGGACAAATAGGACTGATGCTCCTTTCACTAGGCTCTGTGAGAATTACCACCTCTGAATGGGGGTTTTCTTCCCCAATAAAAACAGGTTAAAGATAACTTCACTGATAAGACTCAGGGAAGCATTTTGCAGATGGTCCGCAGGGTGTTAACAGATACAGAGCAGGAAGGGCTCTAATGTGGATACATTTAGGCAATGCTGGGTTAGAGACATGTCCTGATGGTAGCCCTCCTTGGGACCTTAGCCATTGTGGTGTCATTGGAACTCTGCAAAGGAATGCTGACCCATGACATTACCCAAGCCAGTTTCAACATGGAATCCCTTTTTAAAGAATCATCTTGTGAGACCAATGTTTTAAGACTGACTCAGAGATTTTGTGAGGCTCAAGTGACATAATAATATAAAAACCAGGTAGGATTTGGCCATGCAGATGACAGAACCCAGGACAGCTCTCTGCAGACAGGGGAGGCAGCTGAAGCCAGCGCAGAAACAGAGACCCAGGGAACATCCAAAGGGCCAGAGAGGCACAGGGGCAGTGAAGGAGGGTGGAGGGGGGAAACGGTGAGGGGCCCACAGCGCCAAGGTGCGGAACAGGGATCTTCTTTGTTGAGTCCTGGAGAGCGGCCCGTGGAGCCCAGGCACGCCTTGGAGATGGGCGGGGTCCCTTCCTGACCTCGGCCATAAAGCCACGATTGGAATAAAGTGAGTCACATGGACTGTTTGGTTTCCCAGGGCACATAAAAGTTATGTTTACACTGTACTGTAATCTGTCAGGTATGCAATGGCTTGATGTCTAAAAAAACGTGTATACCTTAATTTAAAAATACTTCATTGCTAAGAAAAAAAAAATACTAACCATTATCTGAGCTTTCGGTGAGTAGTAATTACTGGTCGCAGATCACCATGACAAATCGAAGAGTGATGACCGGAAATGGTGAAAGAGCGTGAGAATTACCGATATGTGAGCCAGAAGCACCACGGGAACAGATGCTGTTGGGAAAATGATGCAAGGTTGCCGCAAACCTTCAATTCGTAAAAAAAAAAAAAAAAAAAAAAAAAAGCCGTATCTGTGACATGCATTAAAATGAGGCAAGACTCTAGAGCTGGGTGACGTTTTTCTGAGGTCACAGGCTGGTGCATGGACTTCGGGGCATGAGACCCAGTAGGGGAGGGGGGCAGGAGCCCCAGTTAGGAGGCAGCGTGGGGACAGGGGACACATGTGCATGAGTACGGTGGTGATAGTGGGACTAGAGGAAAGAGAAAAGACTTCAAGTCGAGATCGTCGCCTCTTGGAACATGACTGTGTATTGGGGAATTCTTTCATTTCATTTGACAGCGATTGGCT